TAGTAACAGTAATATAACAACATTAATAACAAAACCGGCAAAATCAACCCACAACACCACCCCATCAGTCGCTATTTAGGAAACTTAATTTAGAGCATAACTTATAACCACAGCCTCCATTATGGGTTATTTTCCGCCTTGTCGCTAAGGGAAGGCAGACGTGGATGTGCCTTTGGGTATTTTGATATAAATATTGGGCAGTGTGGGTCTATCTTTCATTTGTTTGTTTCAGTTTCATATTACCTCGCTTGTACTTTTATTTATTTATTTTATTTATCTTTTTTGTTGCCTTTTTTTTTTTTTTTTTTTGTTATGTCTTGCCATATCTCGTAAAGCTATATATAGTATGTATGTATGTATGTATATTTCTTTTAAATATAATACATTTTATATAAATAATAGGTCCTACTATTATAAAACATGTTTTAAGTTTTTATTATGTTTATCCTTCTCAAATACCATGTCTCTCCCATATTTATTTTTGTTTTAAATTCATTCCTCGGTCCTCTGATTCATCTTTTCTCGTCTCTCATCCAGTCACTAAATCCCTCAATCTTTATCTCAGCTTCAGGTAACATTTACAAGTATGTCACAATCCTCTTCAACTAATCTCACTGCAACATTATCAATCCTTTCCCCAAAAATTCAGAATCTCATTCCCCTATATTCCTTCCACATTGCTGTCTTAAAATGTTTCTACTCATCGCTTCACATCTCCTCTAACATTTCTTCCCGTCCTCTTATTTATTCTTTAATCACAGGGCCTAGTAAACAACTTTAATTCCACCAACCTGGATTCCCCTGGGGACAGGGGGTGTCCACTTGTCCCTCCTGGACAGGACAAATAGGGCTTTCAATGTTGAAGTCATGCATAGGACTTGGGATCGAAATGATAAAGACTTTACTTTGGCACAGTTAGATCCGTCAAGGCAAGCACAAAAGCAATACACTTATCACCTCTCTCTCGGGCTATCCATTGCCACACCTCTATGGTGGGCTCCAACTCCACAAACAGGAGCAGAAAATGAAACCTTTGTAATTGAAATTGTTTAGTAACGTCATCAGGTAACTCGAAAATTCTCACATTGTCCGATCTGTTTCGTCCTTGCATTGTCACTGAATCCCTGCTTCTCTCCGTCTACAGGAATCCGCGACCCACACCCTACCCCACCCCTGGCGACCGCCATCCTCCCCATCCCCGAAATCACTTCCCATCTGACCCGCTTCAACCCCCACCCCTAAAAACTCACCCGGCCGTACCCCCTTCCCCCTTACCCCCATTCTCCCGCTTCTACGGCCCCCACAATCCCCGGCGTGCCCCCCTTCCCCATGCACTATCCCCAGGACTTTACCTAGCACTCAGCCTCGTACTTTCCTAGTGTTCCACCCCCCTTGTTCGCCGCTCTCCACTCATACAGATTATCTTCTTGGTAGACATAATCCCACAACACTGGGCAAAGGGGGCCCTCGTTCCCACCCCCCAGCCCTCGACCAAATGGGGTGTACGTGCCCGCAGTTTTCCCGTTTCCTGGAGGTTTAAGAAAGGCTTTCCGCGTATTTCCTGTATTTTCTATCGTTTTAAGTTTTCCTTTTTTCCTATCGCCTTTCGTCGTTACTGTTATCGTGGCTTATGTTTGTTTATCATTATTAGTGGGTCATCTAGCGTGTCTTTTTGTTATCTCTCTTACTCTTTCTTTTCGCTATTCCTTTCCGTTTGTTCGGGGTGAAAAGTGGAAGCAATTTAAGGGGGAAATGAATCTAAGAATAGAGTAAGTTAAGAGAAGAGGGGGAAATGCATGAAAAAAATGGCAAATGAAAAAACGAATAAGTGGTGGAAAACAAGTCGAATAAAACAAAGGAAGGGAAAGAGGCGGAGAACGTGACAGGAAATGACCACGAGTGGAAGAATTTAAAGAATGATAAATTACATAAGTGGGGAAATTTTATTTATTAGAATCGGAACTAATAGGAGGAAACGAATGCCCATGAATATACAAAGAAACGAAAAAACGCTGGAAAACAAGTTGAAAGGAGGAATTGGAGGAAAGTGTATAAGTAAGCGAAGAAGTAATAATAGTAAGCGAATACAAGAGAAATATGAAAGAACGAGCCGAAGAAGTTGGTTACAAAGAAAAAGGAGTGGAAGTAAACCATGCGCAGAATCTATGAAAAGCGAAGTTGACATTGTAAAACAGTGGAGAGACAAATCGAAGGAAGATGAAAGAAGTCGACAGAAGAAATTAACTGGCATACATTGTATATTTCGCTAGAAATAAAGGATGAGGATTGGTGCCAGGGTAAAGGAGTCAGCAAGGGTTCGCTAATATGTTAAGAATCTCTAATCGTCGACCGTGTAAATTGGACCGGTGGTTTCATGCGTTAGGCGACCTTCTCTTGCACTCGGACTTTCTCCTTCGCTTAAGCAGCTGAAACTTTAGACCACGAGGACGTCTCTACTACAAACCCATCTTCTACAGAATTTGTGGCCTCGCGTCCTTATTACTAATTTCAGGATTCTCCAGTTAATTCTTCATCATCTCTATTGGCTTATAGTTCTACTACTATTCTCTCCCTTCTATTTTATTCGGGTATTACTCGTTACTCCATCCTATTGCTATTCTAAATTACGCGTGGCATCGCCTTGGCTCTAAAGGGTTTTACGTTTTCTATTCTCTCCCCTCGATCGTATTATCTTGTTCTCTCTCAAGCTCCTCTTCGTGGACTATTTGCTATTCGTCATCTCCACCCTTGAGATTAGTGCATGAGTAAGCCCTCTTTTGAAAGTTTTCTATTCGAAAATCTATTAACTGAGGTTCTCTTATCCCGCACGCTGCGAGTGCCTATGAATGGGGTTATTCTATCTGGGCTCTGGTCGGGGGGCCTGCGCCTCGTCTATTCTAGGGGTTTAGGCTAGTCAAGGAATTACTTCAATTAAGTTAAGATATGTTGTCCTTCTTCTCCGAGTCATCTATTACGTAACTTCTAATTAGCTGTCAAAGCAGATCAAGTGGTGGGATCTGTCAGTACCGGTAGTCGAGTCTATTTCGGCTATGAATTCTAGGGGAAATTAAGGTGATTATCTCAGGAAAGCAGAGGTGAGGCCCGTGGCACCTCTCAAGCATAGTGCAGCTATTCTAAACAATTTATCTGGACTTCAAAGACGGGGACACACGCCCTCTACATTAGGGACATCTGTTCGGCGTATCCAGTGATACATTTCTACAGATATAGAGTGTGAGAAGAGTGTGTCCTAATGGTGTTGCTCTCCTATGCTCCCTTCTATTCTACCATTTTCTAAGGCAAAGAAAACAGGCAAGATTAAAATTATATTTCTTCTACTTGTTTCAGTTTCTTATCTATATCGGCCCCGGTCATACTCGGTAATCAACTCCTATTCTATTTCTCCCGCGACTCTTCCTAGCACTTCTATTTTCTCTTTATCCTCTCTGCCAGACTCAAGTTCATCTATTTTTCTTTTTGACCTGTCTCAGGTAAGAAAAGCCGGGAGTGTTGGGGAGTCACATCTCCGCCCACGCTCTGCACTACCTTCTCAATATTCTATTCGATTCTACTCAGGCAAGAAGTATCATGCCTTTAGTGACAACACTCATACTGTCTTAACTATGATCATCACTAAGAAATTTAAATTTTCTGATTTTTCTCCTTGTAACGATCAACCGCCAACTCGCAAAGTACCTCTACCTTCTATTCTTTTCTCCCTCCCAACCCTGTCCTCCCTTACACTTTCTATTCATTTCTAGGTTTTCCGGTCCCTCCCGCCCTCTCATATACATCTATATTTCGTGAGCTTGTTTACTTAATTTATTAGGTTCTTTTTTACAATATATTGACGCCTCGCCTTTTGGCTCTTTATTTCCGCCCGGATATATGCCCTCTATCCAGTTCTACATTTCACTGGGCACCTTCACAATACATTTAATATTTACCGACACGCCCTTCGAAATCAATCTACAGAGTGGAATTGCCCTAACTCCTTTTGCCCTAAATTTCTCTTCTGCACACCCTGCCTTCTCTATTCTATTCTTTCCCTCCCTCTCTATTCTAATTCTAATTCCTCTACCGTCCTCGTATACTATTCTCTCGCCCTTATCGCTTCTCTCTACTCTGTTCTAAAAAAAAAAATTTCGTTACCTTCTCTCCCTCCCTCTCTAATTTTATTCTAAAATTTTCGTCACTTACCAAATGTTGGGTTCTCCCTCGGAGTTGGGGAATCTACTTCTAAGTATAATTGGCCTATTGATCTTCGCCCATTCTATATCTTCTTCTATCTCTATCTTTATTCTATGGCTCTCTCTCATCTTTCTTTCTTTCTTTCTTTCTCTCTTATCTTATCTTTTCTTTCCTCTCTCTCATTTTAATTTCATGATTCAGTGTACTCACCATCGTCTCCCCTCTTTGAAATCTCAATCCCCGCTTTTTGCATCTGGGGCACTCTTGTGGCCTTAAGATATCAAACTACCCACCTAATATTTATTTAAATCAGTGCTTTCTCCTCACTCCACTGGGCACCATATTCTTCTCCCCTCAACAAGAAAAAAAGTAAACCCCCGAATATCAACAATTACTAATTTGCAACCACCCAATTTAAAATCAAGAATTCGTACCGGAGTTTCCATTAATTCCATCCGTACCAAAATAGCGGACTCAAAACCGAACACTTTCTCACCCCCAACACGTCCTTACATCACGGAAAAAGCCGGATCCTCGCTGTTAAAGCAACCCCAACTCCGGCCACACTGTCGCCACTGGGGCATATCTGTCCCACTGTTATGCAAAATTAACATAACCTTGATAGAAAATCTGCGAAGGCTCAGAATTCTAGACAAATAAAAGGAAATAGGAACACGAAGATTCCGAGCAGAGCTTAAGATGGCAAATCTCTAATAGACTACGAACGTGCCCGCCAACCTTCAGGCCATCTTTCCACGGTTACGGGAAACCGTCTGCAATAAAGGAACAGATTTCAAGCGCACACTGCCATGAGTCAGCTCTTGCGCATTGCCTCTTTTTCAACCTCCGAGTGCATGGAAACAATGTTAAAAATGGTATTAATACAACAAACTTCACACACGAAAGCAATAACAACTTCGTAACCCAATACAACAAGCAGCTTTCACACCATCAATAAGAAACAAGAAATATATGCACGACAAAGCATAAAGAGTTCCCTATAGCAACACATTCGGCGTCGATAAAAAAAAACAAGAAATATACACAAAAGAATAATAACGGATTCGAAAAGCAAGTCAGGTAAACGTGAATTTCAACCTCTTGAATAATCAAATACCCGCGTTGGCCTCCAAGAATCCACTCCCTGCATTCACTAAGACTCTTTTTTCTCCTCACAAACATTTGCACGGATATTTCATGCATTTTCGTACTACTATATAACACTACGAACTATTTACACACAATTAATTACAAATACACAACCAAGCCTCTTCACCCGCGTCTGCAACTTACCACCACGCACCTTGTCACCCGGCATCTAAACCGCGTACACTAAACACGATGAACAGGACCCATTACCCTGACAGCAGCTCTCGTAGATATCGATACTTCGCCTCACCGTCTCCCTCCCGCCTGCCTCTTGACTTACACGAACGCATATTGGAATTTGTAAAGATGGAGCTTGCATCGGATAGGCATTTACACTAGAACGGGGAGGTGAAGAGCGATTGGTTCGGTTATCTCACACGGAATCAGGCTCGTTTGAGGGAATTTTGGGGTTCGAGAAAGGGCAGGCAAATTAGTGATAAAAAATAAAGGGCAGGGATATTACATTGTGCTTCGTCTCTCAATGGAATAGGGGCTCTAAAGCCGGGATGCTAACTCCGTCGAAGACGTCCATTCGGACTCTCGGTTTTCGACTCTTTTATAGGTGTCCTATTCTGCATGCTTAGTGACATGGAAATGTGTGTATATACTGTATACATTGATCTTGTATTATGCTATAGATATACTGTATACACTGATCTTATATTAACATGATTTATAGATACTACTGTTTACATATTGACATCTTTTATGTTTGGATTCTCATGATTTATATTAACATTATAGATATACTGTTAATGTTGATCTTATATTAAATATAGAGATATACATATGATACATTGAATCTTAATATTGACATGATAGTTTATTGATATATCTGTATAATTTTATGATTCTGTTGAAAACAGCATTATTGAACGCTTTATACATTTTTACCATTTACTTCTATTATCACCAAGAAAATGAAGTTACTTCGTGGAAACAGTTGTTATGAAACCTTTCACTTTTCATTTCTTTCTTTTTCATCAGAAAGGAGAAACGTGAGCCATTTTACAGGTTTCTTCTCTATAGTTCCTTAAGGCTGTTTACAGACGGACTGCTACACACTCCCTTCACTATATTAGGAAAAATAAACCAAGAAGAGATGTTTATTTGTGTTCATGCTTTCTATTCGGTATTATAAATTCTATAGGGATTTTGACGTCACACCTTGTATCGGATGTGAATGAAAAATCGATGTGCCAAGGAATCTTTTCTTCCGATTCTGTTCATCATTCTAATTATGAGACTTTGAGTATGTTCTTTTGTACCTGACTGGCTAAGCAGAACAAAAATGTAGATTCAGTTGATAAAATGATGTTTGGTAGAGACATTAAAGTGATCTTGAGTTATATTCTTCTTCGTCTCTCTCTCTCTTTCCCTTCCCTTCTATTACTTTACTATTTAGTCTGTGTCCCCCTTTCTCTCTCTTTTCCGTCTGGCGCCGCAAGCTCACTCTCTCTATCTCCCTCTCTCTCTATCTCTCCCACTCTCCTCGTCTCCTCTCTCTCTCCTACCCCGCCCTCTCTTTCTCTTTTCTCCCTCTCCCCTCTCTCTCTCTTTATTGATTAGTTTTCTCTGTCACCCTCCTACACTATCAGAGCATCACCACTAATACATTGCCTACGCAAGACAACATCAAACATACAGAGGTGTGGTGATAAAGTTGTCTTCATGCGAACTGACGAACAATTAAGAATCCATCGCTTCTATTAATCAAACTTTATCATTCCCTCAGAGCGCTTCTTCTTGTTCTAATTAGAATACATAAATACATATCATCTTAATGTTGAGCCACATCACTGAATAACTTCTTCGTATTTTGAGATATTGAATCGAACCACTGTATATATAATAATTAATTCATATCAGTTTTTTTTTTATGCTGAACAATATCACTGTATACACTCATATTCTGTGCTTAGTCGTATCACTGGTAATCATCTTCGTAGTGTCTATGCCTGAGCACATTGCTGCATATTCCAATTCTTTAGTTTCATGTTAAAGTATATTCACCGATAACCTTTTCTTTTAAATTATGTTAAGTCATTTCAATGCAGATTCCATTCTCATTCTTCGGTGTTGAACCCACATCAACCACATAACCCTCTTCTTTATCTCGTGTCGAACCATACGATACATACCACGCATCCATGTTGCAATGCCAGTCACGTCGTCATATGAAGGTGCTCAGCACGTACCGCCAACCCCCAATCCCCCCCACATAACTCCCCTCTCCCTTCCCAAGAACAGCGTCACAATCCCCTCCCATACCCCCTCAATTCCTCGTTCTGTCCCTCACCGCTCCGCTGAACAATTCTGCGACCCGTCCACCGTATACGCGTCCCAACACCAGCTCCTCACGATCCCCGCACTCGGCGCCGAACGCCTAACCCGTCAAATTTCCCGCCTCCAAGGCGCCCGGCAACACCCTTCCACATCCGCCTTCACTAGTAGCTCCAGACCTCCTTCTTCACAATTTTCTCGTCCCTAAAGCCCCTCGACAGTCACCCCAGACACCAACCCCCATCACTAGATTCGCGCACTTCCGACCACTCGCACCGAGGACCCGACTCACAGTATCTATCACACTGGTCTCGTTGGATATGAGGATCGCCCTCGCCGTAGAGCCCATTATACACGTCCTCACATTATCCCTCCTGTCCCAGACCCTGCGACAATTCCCGATGGACTTTGATCCTCCCCAACCGCGCTCACTAGTTCCTCTACTCCGCGCCCAATCTGCCGCTCCGCAGTTCCCCGGCCTCGCGTTCTGTGCCCACCCCGGCTCAATTCGCCCCATCCCTACCCAACCCCAACCCCCTCAGCGTCCCCCTCTCCCCCTCGATGCGGCCAAGATTCTGCCCTCACATGCCCGGCGACGCTGGCCTCAGAACTTCTTCTTAAGACCCCCCGCCCGATGTCCCCCAACCGCCAAACCCCATTTCATAATTCTCCTTCCCCAACCCTCCCTCACATTCCCGCCCTCCCCGCTCGATCCAACCCCTCATAGCATTCCTCCGCGTCCCCCAACCCCGGAGCCACCTGCACAGTGGATGTTGCCCATGTCCGAGAAAGCGGCCGCTCAGCATTCCCCTGCTTCCCGTCTGCCCGTGTAACCCCAACCTCAGACATGTCCCGCCTACCATATTCGATTCCCCTAACCGCCCAACCCGCCTCACAGATCTCCCGGTCCTCCCAAATCTCCCAATCCCCCGCCTCTCATTCCCCCGAGAACCCGCGCAAGCCCCATCAACATTCCCCTCCTCAACCCCCTGACGATTCCCAGCAGCTGAATAATAGGTTGCGCCCACTGCAGCATGATTGCGCCTCAGATCCGCCCGCGTTCCAAGCGTTCCCCGCTGCGGTCCCTACTCCCATACGAGCCCCGCCGATCCGGTAGCAAGTCTGCCCGCCGGGTCACCCCAGACCGTGCCCTCTACATTGCCGCTAAGCCGAACCGTGGGCTGCAAGACGACTCGCCGCTTCGAAAGGTTGCCTCCCTTTCCTCCGTAACGCCAACTCCCTCACTGTACGAATCATGTATACGGAAGGTGGTGTGTATCGAGTGGAGCTGGGATGCTTTTTTGGGATTAGCTTCTAGTGGGTTGATGTTCCCTCGCCTCGCCCTCACTCGCCCTAAACATCCCGTCTCCCCAAGAGGCCCACCGCCAACCGTCTCGCGCGGTGGACGCAAGTTTTGTGGTTTCAAGCTCATTGGCCCCGAATATATGACCATGCCGGGAGCGCACTGATGGCCAGGCGAGGAGTTGGTCGCGAGGCGTCTCGTTCAATAAGTTGGGACTCCGCTGCGGGGGTGGCCGCCGAGGGTAAACTCTCCGTAAGTCTATCCACCTTCCGGTCTGCGGTCGGGATCGTGGAGCGGCGTGGTCGGTGGCCTTTTGGTTGGTCACGGTGGTGCCGGTTGTCTTCGGGTGGATTCTCATCATTATTTTTTTTACTTTCATGACGGTTTAATATCTTAATTTTGATTTATTTGATCTTGGTGTTTCGTGTCGAGTAGTTGTACTGGTGCCCGTGTTATCCGCTTTTCTTGCTTTATTTTTGTTTTGCCGCGTTTTGCTTGTGTGAGGGATGCCGAGGGAGTTCGAAGGTGGTGTGTATTGTTATTGCCACACTCTGACCGTGGATGGTAGGAGGTTCGCTTGCTAGTCGATCGGCGCTAAGTGCAAGTTTGATGCTATGATTCCGATGACAAGAGAGAAGTGTAGGTGAGAATAGGTTTGTTTCTCCGCGGAGTAAAAGCTGGGGCGGCGGGGTTGTGGGTTTACGGCGTTTGATGGGTCTTTATGTCGCGAAAGTAGTAAAAGTTTATCATTCAATTGTATGGTACGCTGGGCCGGTCTGATATGTGTTGTATGCTGGTTTTGGAGGTGGTAGATAAAACAATATACGCCTTTTTTATAGTTAGCCAGATTACCGTTGTGTAGTGACGGAGCAAGGAAAGTAGGTATGAATGTTTACTGTTTATCAGTTGGTCGTTAGGATAATACGTTGTGTGTTTTGTTTCCTTCTGTGGCGCGATATGCAAGATGAAGAAGAATAAAATAATAATAATAATAAAAGTAAATTTAGATGTAGATATGGAATTAATACAAGATAAAAATAAACCAATTTTCAGTAATGTGTGCTTGGCTAGGTTTAAGTGTGGGTGGTAGACTCAATTAACGTTATTTATTTGTATACCTGTCCTCGTGAACTATCGCAAAAGGAAAAAAAAATTCTCCCAGTGCTGTGCCTGGATGTGAGAGTACAAGCATAACTGACATCGCACGTTCTTTAATCTGTCTTTACTACAGAGAGTATGGCTAGCTGATACAGCCTCGACTGATACCTAGTGGTGATATGAAGTGGGGCTGGTGGGCAGAGTGCGGATATGCTTCGCGATGGGGAGACAGTGATGTATGACCGAGCCGTGTCAGCGACGATTGGCAATTAGGACAATTAATGGTCAGCGGCGCCTATTCGCTAGAACCATGCTGCATACGGAGAGTTAGGCTAGTATTAGCGACACACGAGTGGGTGTGTAGAGGACTAAGTTGCGAGATACCAATTGCGCGTTGGAATAGTAGGCTCAGGTATGCCTCTTCGTAAAGAGAAGTGTCATTTGCTATGTTTGTAAATGTCAGCTGTGCGAGGTTGATTGTGAAGCTGAGTGTTGATTGGGATAGATTAGCCGCTTCCGATGTGCGTAATAAATGTATCAGCGAATGCTGGTTTTCCGCCTATAAGCAGTCGAGGGGTTGTGTGCGTGTGATTGGAGTGGTAGAAGATGAGGTGTCATACGGCTGGGCCATGTGACGTTGGATGGTATCTGAACACGCGCAGCGCCGCGCGCGCGCGCTCTCGCTCACCTCGCTGATCTTCGTGGTGTGGCTTATCTGTTATTGTTGTGTTGAAAGGGTTGAACAATGAAAGGTTGCGTTATGTCTGTGGCACTGTTGGAAGGAACGAACATTAGAGCTATAGACTTATAACTGCTTCTAGCGGGAACGAGAAGAGGAAGAGTAATGAGACAAAGAGTGAGTGAAGACATGGATAACCAATAGATGAATGACGGGAATGTGTGAAGATAACAGCATGGAGAAGAGGATCTAGCCTAGAAAAAGTATATATAGAAATGATATGAAAATAAAGAAGAGAAAAAGGGGGGGGGAGGTAGATAAAAAGAAATTACGTAGAGAGAAGATGAGAAGATGAAAAAGCGAGAAGGAAGATGTGGAATTCGAACCCCAGCAAAAAAAATCGACGTAAAAGGGACGAATAAGAAAAATTCATATATCTCAGTGCTTTGTTTCAGAATGCACAAGCGAATCGCCCGGGAACTTCACACGGGCGCTCCTATCAGCGAACGAGATCACGAACGAGACTTCATAGGACCTCCATTGTCTCTCGGGGAAAGGGAACAGCTCCGGTATCACAGCTCCTTCAAGGAACCCAGACGCGGTTTCCGAGAAGTTCGCAAGACAGTGGGTGATTTGCTGTTATTTTTTTTGGTATTTGTTTTTTCAGTGAGACATTTTTATTTTAAGCATTGTTGTATGCTTGGTTATCATTGTTGTTATCGTTAGTAGTGGTAGTGGTTGTTGTTATTAGTAACAGTGGCAGTGGTAGCAATATTATCATTATTATTATTATTGATAATTATAATGATATTATCATCATCATTATCGTTACTTCATTATTATTGACAGCAGCATTATTAACTGCATTGCTTTTTAACATCATGATTAATATCAATTCTAGACTACTATTTAATATCAATATTATCATCAAATAATCATCAGTTTTGCTTTACCATTATCTTACCAAACAATATTATTTTTTTTACCAACTCTTACATAAAAAAAAAATCTAACCCACACCCTACGCCCACAACCGCCCCCCCCCACCCGGTCCTAAAAAAAAAAAAAAAAAAAAAAAAAAAAAAAAAAAAAAAAAAAAAAAAAGTTGCACACACGTATCACATATCGTACGCAACATGAATATGCAATCATGCAACGAGTCCTCTGCTCATGCAAGTCAATCCCTCTTTAGTTGGTGATTAATTATCCTCCCTCACCGATAAAAGTGTTGTCGTTATAATAAGTATTCTATCATGAGTAAGAACCGAGCTTGTCTGAGCGATAAATGAGATTTAATTACTGCCAGCATTAAGAATTGAGCGATGATTAAGGTGAAGCTTGAACAGTGTTTGATCTGAACGAAATCATCATTATATTTTATTCTTAAAGCGAGTGACGATAAATTCCGAACAGTATTCTTAATCGAAGCGTAAATCTTGGATCGAAGCGAGTGAAACTTATCTTTACAGAGAGCATAATTTAATCTTGGATATTCTTTTAAGAAAATGATTTACAAAATAGAACTCGAGTCTGAAATCTTATTCGAAATGAAATTACATAAAAATGGTGCTTTCTATAATGGGAAGATTTATAATTAGTTAGTTTGGGAGAATTCAGACATTATGTCTTTTTATTTATACTGTGATTATAAGTTATACATTTATCATCATGTGCAACCTATTGCTTTACTATACTGCATATGTTTGTATTATTAGTTACTTTATTGCACAGTATATTATTTATTATGCTAATTTATGCCTTATCATACTGCAAATTGTTTTGCTATAGTTTTATTAGTCTAAATCTCTGTTTACGTTTGTTACCAATATGGCCTAAACATATTAAGCCATAATTTATAGAAGTCCGACAAAAGAAAAAATATATATACAATAACAGAAATCAAGGAAAAGAACAAAAAGAAGAAGAAGAAGAAGAAAAACAACAACAAGAATATAAAGAAGAAAGAAAAAAACTCGCGTGCAATAAAACAGCAAAAACAAAATCCAGCCAGTAGGTTAGCGGTCTCAGTGAGTCTAGGCGGTGGCCCGTGCCCACCCCGGCTACCACGCAACACTCACTCGGGGCATCACCATTCTGGTATGCCATACCATGACTGGCTGGTGTTGCTCTTGCCTCAGCCACCATTTTTTTTTCTTGTTTTTCTTCCTCGTTTCTCGGTTTACTTCCTGTTTATATCGGTTACTAGACTTTTTTTCAAGCATATGCACATTCGGAGATATTGAGTGCGTGTGTTAGTGTGTGCGAGAGTGTGTGGGTTTCAGGGTCTGTTTAGGTTTCTGAACACGCGCGTGTGACCCCATAGTTGAGGAGGAGAGCGAGTTGGGTCATGCTTTTTTTACACACACACTGACGCATGCGGGAACACGTAAGGCACGCTCGCAGACAGACGCGGAAAGACAGACAGACGCACACACACACACACACACACACACACACACACACACACACACACACACACACACACACACACACACACACACACACACACACACACACATATATCACACACAACCAGCTACAGGTCATAGACATAATGACATATACAGCACCATATATATTCCAACATATACACAATACACACAAAAACACACACCATTACATACAAATATACAACACACACACACAACACACACACACACACACACACACACACACACACACACACACACACACACAACACACACACACACACATACACACAGACATACACACATATTGAAGTGTTCATTGTA